CTTCCAGATCACCTTGTTTGTTTGTTTTAATTCATAGCTTGGAGTTAGTTGAACGCTTTGTTCACATTTTTAAGATTGGCAAATAGTAAGCTTTTTTGCTAAAGTGTAAAGCGTGCTGGTGCTAGTGCTTTCCCACAAAAAAAAGTGTTTGAATTCAGCACTTCAGCAGTAGAAAATGAGGCCACCAAAAACGGAACTAACGGGTCTATATTTGCTGCCCTTTGGCTCAATAATAGTATTTACCATATTTTGCTAGGTTTTTGTCAACTTTTGCTCAAGAGTAACAAAAAGACGTAGTGGTAAGAAAGATACTCCAATTTTTATGCAATAACTTTTTCATTATAACACCAGAACACATAAGATATGCCTTATTTTACATCTGTCTTTAAATAATACAACCGGAGTTTTGTATATTAGGTGAAGCAAAAGCCAGTCTAACTCAAAGCTTCGATATGCACCTTAAGGAGAAGTTAAAGGCCAATTTGTTACTAACTTATTTCCTCCAACGCCAGCAAAATTGCCAAAATCACAAATTACTCTCTCATTCTTGTGCTCTGATGAGTCAGAGAAAGTCACGAGATGCGGTTGTTGAATTTGACACAAATAATGGCACTTAAAGGGCGAAACCTGCCCTAAAGCAGGCTTTAAAATTTTGGCTAATTGACAGTTGGACACATCTATGTAGATCCAGACCATATATTAAATAAGCCACTAGAAAGCATACAAAATAAAGATTACTTCACTTAAAAGGGTTCAACATCTCTCTTTATTGTTTCAATTTTACCAAGTGACTGATTTTTGCACAAAGATTTTAACTACCAACTCTAGGCGGTAAACCTAAGATAAGCCTAATAGATCTACTTGTAATAAAGGATTGAACAATGCGTAAAACCTGCCAAAAATCTTGGATGGCTCTGCTTTCCTACTTCCTCAGTAGCTAAAATACAATTCTACAATGACGCATTTCAGTTACGCATGAACTCTTTTCTTGATTAACTTCCGAGCATGCGGAGTTTAACCATCAAATGAGGGGAAAACTATGACCAGACGTAAATTAATTTTCATTTGCGCTACAGTCGCATATAATAGTTCGTGAGTCCAACCAAGCGGACTCATTAACATCGAAGGAGTGTGTGGCAAACTTGCAGAGCTACACAACTACACGCATCTGAAAATGAAAAGCAGTTAATTACAAATCCCTAGGGCTGGAACTTTAGCTATGTGGACTTCTAAGTAAGGCAACAACTGCATCACTTTAAGTCATACTTTCTCAATTTGGTCTTATAGTTGTTCCTTTTAAAAACATTGAATTCTTTAGTGGGTCGTAAACATTTCTTGTTGAATCAACTTGGTGAGACAAGGTGTGTTCATACCTAAATAGGTGCAGGTCTGCAGAGTTTTGCAGCTTAAAAATGGGTGAGAGAACTATGGGTATCAAACCTAACTTTTAGAACAAAAGAATGAATCATGTATTTCATAAGGCAGGTCAAATGGGCCAATTTAAGGGTAGGATTTAATTTTAGGACTGAATAACAAATATTTGGCTTTAAGAGGAAGAAGATAGAGCAAGATTCATAAAGTCCTTTCAGGTAATACTAAATTAATTCAAGACCTTCTGCAACTTTTTCAAAGCCTTCGTGAGCGCTACATGCAGAGACCTGTTTAACGTAAAGCGAATACGTTTATATGTACACAATCGCTTTAATAAAATTCCCCTAAATATTTTACATAAGAAATCTGTGGTTCTTTTAATAAATCCATTTCCTTAAACCCCTGGAACATTTGATGATGCAATGCAAGCCAAAAAATTTTCTCCTATCAAAAGTAATTATTTTTAAAGCGCATTCTCTTTCACCAAATGTTGGTATTGATACAAGTTGCTTGGTTAAGTTTAAAGCAATCACCTAATCATTTTGGGTTCTTTTTCATATAAATATTATAAATTGCCTGTTTTTTGCTATCGGTCAACGAATTGCCAAACAATTGGTGAGAACAAAAGGTTTTTTTTACTTTACATGGGCAAAGACATTCATATTTTGAGGAATTGTCTAGTAAGTAAACAGAGATGTCAGAAATCTACTAGTCAGGACAAAAAATGCCTTCTTCAATGAAAAGTGAATATCCAAATAAAGCGGGGATTGTGATCAGCCATATATGGTAATTCTTCTCTTTGTAAGGATCTCTTTTGCTAGGAGATTCAAAAACA